AAATTGAAAGGGCCTAGTGTTCTACAAAAAGAGACACATACCAAGGTATATTACTATAATGTTTCAGAATACCAGTGATAAAAAAACTACCCAAAAAGCATTAAGAAAGAGAAAACAAGTCATAGAAGGCATTGGATTTCTCAAAATCAGTCCTGGAAGCTAGAAATCAATAAAATACTGATTTCAAAATTCTGGAGATGAAAATTATTTACAACATCAAATCTATTCAAATTATCAATCAAGTACAAGGGTAGAAAATAATAAAAAGACATTTTCAGCCACTAGCTCAAAATTATTTTCCAGGCATTCTTTCTTAGAAAGCTATTAGAAAATGTGCTCTAACAAAACAAGAGTATAAACTGAGAAAGATGATGGCATAAGATCTAGAAGACAGGATATAGAGCAGGATGGCAAAGAAAGTACAGCTTTCCATAGGAGAATGACAGCTGTTGAGAAGGAGGGCTCTGGGACTGGGTAGAAGGAGGAAAGGAAGAGTAATTCATTCGAAAATATGGGAAATATTACCGATGAGTATAAGAGATTATGCAACATTTGAGAGAGCGGACAGATAACATACAAAAAAAATACTATGTAAAATTAAAAAGGCAATTATGTATTAACGTCAAGAAAAATGAAGAGCCATATAAGAAATGAGGTGTGTGTTATATTACACTATTTGACCAGCACAGAATAATATTTCCACAATCAAAATATAAATCCTGTTAAATTAGCCAAAAATTATGTTATTAATGGCAAGCATAGAAAGAAATGGAGAATCTACCAAGGTTAATAATGTCTCAAATTGGCCGGGCGCGGTGGCTCACTCCTGTATTCTAGCTCTCTGGGAGGCTGAGGCAGGCGGATTGCTCGAGGTCAGGAGTTCGAAACCAGCCTGAGCAAGAGCGAGATCCCGTCTCTGCTATAAATAGAAAGAAATTAATTGGCCAACTAATATATATAGAAAAAATTAGCATTAGACATTTACAAAAAACATCTAATCAAGAAAAGATTCCAGGCCAGGTGCAGTGGCTCACAACTGTAATCCTAGCACTCTGGGAGGCCAAGGCAGGTGGATCACTCAAGGTCGGGAGTTCGAAACCAGCCTGAGCAAGAGCAAGGCCCCGTCTCTACCAAAGATAGAAACAAATTCATTGGCCAACTAAAAATATATAGAAAAAATTAGCCAGGCATGGCAGTGCATGACTGTAGTCCCAGCTACTCGGGAGGCTGAGGCAGTAGGATTGCTTGAGCCCAGGAGTTTGAGGTTGCTGTGAGCTAGGCTGACGCCATGGCACTCACTCTAGCCTGGGCAACAAAGCGAGACTCTGTCTCAAAAAAATAAAAAAAGTCTCAAATTGCAAAACCAATAGATAGCAATGAATATGTTATTTGGAAATATGGAGTAACTAGGAGAATAGCGAAACTGAGGGTTGAAAGGAACTACTTGTTATAAGTACTATGGACTTTTGAAACTATATGTCTTCTGTTAAAAACTTTTGACAAAATATTTCCTTCATAAAACAGTCTGACTAGTATGTGAAAAGTAAATTATAAAGAAAAGATGAGTTGGAAAAAAGGCTAGTTAGGAAACTAAGGCAAGGCAAAGACAGTGATGGTGGTGGTTATGGAGAAGAGAACATATTTCCAATTTTTTAAAGATATAAAAGTGAGAAGACTTGCACATGAAATTGATGAGTTTTTGGAGAAGGCTGGTAAGGAAAGGAGAGGGCAAAAATCAAGGATGACACCTAAGTCCTTGGCTGGAACCCCTGAGTGGAAGCAGGTTAACACATCACACGAGAAAGACTAGGGGGGAGGAACAGGTGGTAGAAATCAAGAGTTCTATTTTAGATGTATTAAATTTGAGATGCTCCAAGTGGGAATCTCAATAAAAAAGTTTGATGCTTGAGCCTGGGACTCAGGAGAGAAGTGAAAGTTAAAGACATACATTTTAGACTCACTAGTTACAGTTGTTATTTAAATCTCTAGGATTGGATAACATACCATAGGGAGAGAATAGGTAAGAGAAAAATAAAATAGAAATATATTTTTATTATATTATATAGATACAACAGAAAAAAATAGAAAATATAATCATTTCATGGAGTAAAAGCAAGCACTAGTCCATAAACTTATTTTAGAGACAGATGATAGATACAAACTGATTGACACATAATTTATATACTTATGAATGTACTAGGAATAATATACTTCCTATTGTAAGTTGTGGTTTAACAAAGTTAAGAAATTCTAGGGGATGAGAACCTAAGAAAAAATAAATAATTAGCCACTATCATAGAAAGAACATCATGGAAGTACAGCTTACAAAAGCCAAAAAAAATCCTCCTCAAAGAAATATCTTTATGCTGTACTTCTGTAGAGAACTGAGTATGTCAGGTTACGTTCAATTAGCACTGTTAAGTGACCACTAGGAGCTTGGAAATACAAACACCATTTGTTACTGACCTTGACAAAGGTAGCTTCAGTGATTAATAGGGGTGGAAAACATTTTAGAGTGACTGAGAAAGTGAGAAAGCAGAGACAGTCTATATAGACAGGAGAAGGAAAACTTCCCTAGGAACCTAAAATTTGAAAATCAGAATTCACTATGTGAAAGAGTCTGTCAGAGTTCTAAAGCAACTAAGTTATGAATTCCTTGGGACAGACCCCTGTCACAAATTCTGTGTTCCCAGTGCCTAGCAAACACTCAGTACTCAGTTTGCTGAACTGAATGAAATCATAAAACAAGGCAACCCAGCCCAAAGGGCAGAGGCTCTTAATCTGATGTCCATGTTTGTGAGTAAGGAAGAAGAGTCCAGGAAATCTCTCAAAGGGGGCAGGGGAAGTGGAATGTATTGGTGCATTTTTCTTAACAAAAAAAACGGGGGGGGGGGGGGGGTTTCACAGCATTCACTAGATTCTCAAAAAAGCTTGTGACCACCAGAAAGGTAAGAAGGATCGTTTTACAGACTAAATTTTGCCGCCTCAAAATTCATAGGGTGAAGTCTTAACCCCCAATGACTGTACTGTATTTGGAGATAAGGCTTTTAAAGAGGTAATTAAGGTTAAATCAGGTAATAAGGGTGAGGGCCCTAATCCAATGACTGGTGTCCTGATAAATGGAGATGATTAGGACACAGACACAAAGACCACAGGGAGAAGACCACCATGTAAGGGCCCTAATCCAGTAACTGGTGTCCTCATAAGAAGAGATTAGGACACACACAGAGGAAAGACCACAAGGACACACAGAGACTACCACCATTCTCAAGCCAACCAGAGAGGCCTCAGAAGAAAAATTAACCCTGCTGATACCTCAGTCTCAGACTTCTAGCCTTCAGAACTATGAAAAAATACATTTCTGTTAAGACACCCACCTGTGGTATTTTGTTATGGCAGCCCTAGAAGGAGCACCCTAGTTTCTCTCTCAAGTCTGGTCAGATCTTCCCTCCTCTCCCCAAATGCCAGCCAGTCCCATCCTAGTCAAAAAAACATGAGGCTACCCCATTATTAGTTCTCACAACAAAAAAGTATTTGGATTACTTCTTCACAAAGCTATTTATTAGTTCTTGATCATTCCAACCAAAATAAGATGTTCTTTTTACCTAGCACACTTCACCTCTTATTCCATAATGTTATCTGAAACTTAAAGGCACTTTTAGAAAAATGAATAAAATAAAATCATCAAATAGCTGCTGAGAGAGGAGAGAGCAATTAGGAATTCTGATGCCCCAAAGGTAAATTTGGCAAATCCCATCCAAGGTGTGGTAGGGTCTATAGGTCACATTCCCACATCCAGGTAGCTTGCATGTTCAAATCAGAAAGGACAACACACTCTTTCCTCCTTCCCCACATGCAAACAAATCACAAAGATTTGTTTTCCCTACTTAAAGAACCTTAAACATCTACAATTAGCTCAAAATGTCGACTCCATGGGAAAATTGGGAAAGGTTATTCAACTGCTTTATCTCATCAGAAAAGAAAGGCTGCAAGTTAGAAGCTTTAACTCTGGTATCATAGTAAAACAGAAAAAAATTTAAATATACATACAAGTATATAAATACAAAGACATACACATGCATATGCACAAGCCCACACATATATCTTCTCCAAGTGTAGCTCTAAGCATTCATTAGTACATTAATCGTGTACTGAATAAGCCCTATAGTATTTTTATGAATTTTGACCAACCAATTACTGCATCAACCTGAACCTATACTTCAGTCCTCTGAATATGGATAAACTCACATCTGTTCTAAATTCTTTTCAAATTTTCACAACTGCTCAGCCACTTTGCTGAGACCTGTGGTTATCAGTTACCGTGTATAAAGAAATCAGAAAGAGCTAAAATTGCACTAACATTATCTTGAGATAATGTTCCTCTCATTCCAAGAAGGAAAATACCCACAGCAAACAAAATAGCACCATTATTACAGAACCAAGGGTTAGGTTACCTGACCCTGGAAGTTTAATATAGCCGGTGTTTTTAAGTTCTGCCTGGTCTCAACACCTCTGCTTGGAATTTGGTTTAAGCCTGAACTCCAAGTAAACAATTTCACGTGTGCTGAAAGCCCAACTCTGTGCCACTCCCAGATTAAATAAAGGTAGTAAAACCTCTCATTATCATTAAGGTCAGACCTGTGAGAAAGAAAAAGGAGTAACCAATCACTTCACCTTCGAATACAGGCCAAGGTTAAAATCTGGGCAGACCGTGGCAAGAACAGCAATCCAGAGCGGACGCTGCCGGTGGAGAATATCTGCTTTAACCCAGAGACAAGATGCCCAGCCCTGGATCCTGTCCTTTCCCTCTGAGGATGCCCGCGGGCCTGCCGTGGGTCAGGGACACAATTCCTCTGCTCACTCCTGAGAGGAAAGGGGACACAGCTGATTTTAAGACACTTGTCCAACCACGCTTAAAACACAAACAAAAAAACAGACAAAACAAGCAAGTCGGCACGCTGGCGTGTGGAACTGCCCCCGCGGCGGACGCCCCCACTCACCGCACACCATCAGCAACAGGACGATCAGCAGCGTGGCCACGAACACGAGCAGGGTCAGCCCTGGTAAGGAAAACCCCCATCTATTACTTGGCGGCGCATCAACCACTGAGACCCTCACCCCTCAGGGAAGGCCCGCACCAGCATGATACTAACGTATCAGCTGGCCCAGCAAATGATCTATTAGCTGGCGCATCAGCGTAACACTAAACCTATTACCTGGCCTATCAACTAAACGAATACCTGGTGCATCATCACAATACTAACCATTAGTCACCTGATATCCCACCCCCTGGACCACCCCAACTTAATAAAAGTGTGAAAAACCGGGTAAGACGGGGCTCAAAAATGGGGGGCGAGACCCCGCTGAGCCCGCCAGCGAATAAACTTTGATTATCCGACTCTCTGTGTGCCGCTGGGTTAGTCCTGGGGACCACCCGCTGTGACAGCCCGACGTTGTGCCACATCTTGGGGGGTGGAGGTGGCCGGCTCAGGACTGCGGGCGCGGGCTGGCAGGCGGTGTGTCCTGGGCTTCAGCGGCGGGCGCCGGGCGCGGCGGGGCGCCGGGGCGGCATGGGCGGCGGGCGCCCCCTCGGCAGCGCCCCCACGGGGCGGGGCGGCGCAAGGGCGGGCACCGCGAACGCCGCCCAACCGGCCCTCTTTCTCGCCCGGGCGGCCGGAGCGCGGGAAGCAGGCGGGCCGCGGGGCGCTTCTACCCACTCATCGCTCGGGGGAACCCGGGCCGCGGCGTTCGGGAACCCTGGCGACGGCCGGACGCGCTTCCATGGCAGACGCCGCGCGCCTGTGGGGAGGAGACAGGAAGAGCACAAGAGCACTCGACAGCCACAAGGCCCTTGTCGCCGCCCGCCCAAGGGTCCCGCAGTCCCCAGAGACGCCAAATGTCAACGTTTCCTGGCAGAGGCTGCAGCTGCTTCACAGCCCCAGGCCCCCTCCCCCCGCGGCTGCTCATCACC